ACAGGACTCCAAATCATCCTTTGGGACCATCCTCCACTCTGGTCCTTTCCGCTCCAGCAAGGGTCGCACGTGTGACCCAGGAAGCCCGCCCCCGAGCCTGGTAGAGCAGAGGCTGCCCCGCTGTTCTGCGACCAGCACGTCTTCCATATTGATCATCAGGGCGAATCGGGGCTTCCACCAGGGCTGCTGGGCAAGAGAAACTCCAGCGCTGAGGACGTGAAGCCCCCGCTGCTGGCAGCCGTCCCGCCCCTCCCGGGGGAGTGAGGGCACCTGGAGAGCCGTGAGCCAGTACAGACAAACACAAAACCAGGGCACCTCTAGCTGTGCCTGGGCAGACAGTCTCCTGGGCTCCTCGTTTTAATTCAATCAGTTCCCCTATAACATAAGCCGGTCTGAGTTGGGGTCCTGTTGTGTTGCTGTTTGAAGGTACAAGGGTCCAAAGGCATCTGAAAAGGCTGGCTCTGGTGAGATGATGTCAGCGAGGGTGACAGGGACATCCTGCTCTGGGGACCTGACCTGGCTGCACGTGCCCTGGGAGGGCCGGGGAAGCCATGGTGAGGTATGGCTGCTGAGAAAGCCCAGGAGGCCCATGGCTGAGGGGCGAGGGCTGGGGCCGGGCTGCCTGGGCACAGCTCCTGGGCACAGGGCCCCACCCACGGTTTGGGGGGCACTGGTCTCCTTGTTCGGCGGAGCCCCTGGGCCAGCGGCCTGCAGCCGGAGCAGCCTCCTCCACCCACTGCAGCGCGGTGAGCAAGCATCACCGGCCCCTCCATGCTGCACGTGGCAGAGCCGGAGAGAGAGCAGGGCCCTGAGGCGGGCAGCCCTGTGTGGCTGAGGAGTTCCCAGAGCGCGGGGCACGGACGCACCGCCGCGGAAGGGGGTTTGGTTATGAAAACGGCGGTAGGTCTGGGGATGGCTGTCCCGTCCTCCTCTGGGGTAACAACCGCGCGGCATCCATGTGATGCCGTCGGCTGCTCCCCGGTAGCCATGCCCAGTCTTCCTTCCTCACGGAGCCACAGTTCTCTTCCCCTGGCAACATGCCTGCCAGCCTTAGGGGACAAATCCAGACTGGCCAACGCCACTGCCTCGTCAGAAACAGGCTAATGGTAATCATGGGCCTGGCTCGGACTGTGAGGAAAGTCTGCCAGGAAGGGCTGGAACCTCCTCCTGCCTCCTTTTCCTGCCTCCTCCCTTCTGCTCTTGTGTGAACACTCACGCTTGGAGTTGCAGCAGCCACCTTGTGACCATGAGGAAAGGCCGAGAGGATGACACTGGCACCCGTCAAGGTCAAGTTACTGAACCAACTCCAGGTCCTCTGAACGACTTCCGGGCTTCTCTGGTTGTGCAAGACAATTCAGCGACGTTTACGCATCCTCACCAGCAATAGCGCACTGGTTGACCACCACACTCCTCCACGTATGGTCTTTGCTCATCACCGCCCGGGCTGTGGTGGCCGCCATGTGAGGGAAGGGACAGCTGAGGCTGAGGAGGCTGAAGAGGTTAGCTGACAGAGCTGGGAACGTGGGACTGAAACCCTTCCGTGCCCGCTGATCCACGTTCCGCTCCGACTCCCCTGCCTCGGAAGGATGACGCATATTCAGAGCCAATATGTGAAAGTCCAACGTAACAATTAAAAAGTACGTTTGTGAAAGGAATGCCTTGACAGTTGGCTCATGCTAATCATGCTGTTATTATAAAGCTCTCCCAGACTGTCACACAGAAGAAACACACACACACACACACACACACACACACACACGAAAAAGAAAAGAGCAGAGAGAGAATGCGAGCATGCCAGGAAGTGTGGGATAGAAACTTCAGTTTGGGAGCCAGGAAATGTCAAGGGAACAAATGTAGCGATCCATCTCCCGTGCACCACAGAGCAGCCCTGACAAGTGACAGACTGCCACAGAGGCTGGAAAAGCTACAGCTGCTTCTGGGTTTTACGGTAACAACCAACATGCTGGTATATAATTGACGGCACAGAAGGAAAGTGCTTGAATTCTACCCTCAGTCTCTGGGTTTTTCTTGTTTTCAGACTGCCTGGTCTGGACCATGGAAGACCGACAGCCAACAGCAAACCCATTATAAGCTGGAAATGACCTCTTCTGAATACAATTAAATGTTTCTTTCCTCCTTGAATTGAACTCTTTACTGTAGTAAAATTCACGCTTTTGCGGCACTGTAACTATAGGTGTACCTACTGGGGGCAGGTTGATTACTCAAGGAGCCTATTTAAAGCATACTGTCAAATGCTTGTTTTGTATTTATATTTTTAGATCAGACTGAAGATACTATTGTTAATGACTTTTGCCCAGAAATCGTGTTTTTATGTTCTGAAAGCGATTCCTCTTGCTTTGTACCATGGAAGGCTCTTTAGTGATCACAAGCTGACGTGAACATTCCTTTGTAGGAGCTTCTGCATCTACGCTGTCAGGAGCAGCAGCCAGTCCCAGGTCTGTTCCCAAGGGAGCACAGACAGGGGGTCCCTTATTAACAGTGGCTTTTGTTGGCTTTTAAAAAAAATTTCTGACAGTAAGTGGTGTGTGTCTGGCAAGAATTTCTCTTCTTTAACTGGGATGAGAATTTCTCTTCTTTGGTGTTTGTCTCCAAAGCTCTGAAACAAGCTCGTTGGGAAAAGGACGACCTGCCGCCACGCCCAAGTCACAGCTACTTCCGCCCGGGCTTAGAGCAGGCTGCCCTGAAAACCAGTCGCAACTGAAAAATGTGCTCAAGGGCAAATGTTCTCTCCTTAAGCTATTTTCAGTTTAATATTTATTTGTCTTTCCTATCTAATAGTTAAAAAAAAACTTCACATCTCTTTAAAGCCAGTTACCCGCTCACCATCACACGCCTCCCCAGAGCCCCTTCTTCTGCTGGGGACTCTCGGGGTCACCAGCCAGCTACCTGGTCCGCTACCCAGCGACCTCTGTGAGGACAACAGCTAGAGGCAGGAAAAGCCTGGCCCTGGCAGACCAGCAGCTTTGGGGCGGGGGTGGGGGGGGGGGGGGGGGTGCACCAAAACAGCCGGAGCTCCACCCCCAAAAGCACCCCCACGGTGGCCTCTCTGGTGCTCCGCTGGGAGGGGAAACTGGCGCGTTAGGACTCCGGGCGCGCTCCTCGGACCCCGAGCTCAGTCGGTTCATAGTCGGAGGTGCGGGGATGTGTCCGGTGCTAACGCCAGCAGCTGACTAGTGCAGCGAACGCGAGGGGAAGTTCCGGGACTCGAACATTCCCTTTGCCTTTCTAATGGGGACAGAGAGAGCGCGAGAAAGGGAGCCCTTTGCTTGAGGTGGTGCCCCAGGCGAGGCCACTGCTCTCTCCCTGTCGCCCCTCGCAGTGCGGGACTTGAGGATCCACACTCCTCGGAAATGGCTGTTTTCCCAGGACCCCCACCCCCCTTAGAATTAAACACAGTCTGCAAGTTCCTTGCAGAAGGTTCTCCTAGGATTTCTGATTCGCCAGATCCGGGCTTGTGGTTCATTTTTACTCAGAGGGGCTTCCTGTTTGAAAGAGCAGCGCAGCCGCGCACTGACTGGTAGGCGCTTCACCGGCCCTGCCGCAGCCAGGCCGAACCCGGTCGCCAGGGGTCCGCCGCTGCCGCTGTGACCCGGCCAGCAGTTGCCGCCGGACCCGAGAGGTTTCTGAAGCCGGCAGGCACTTATCCGGAGAAGAGAGGAAATCGTTTCATGAAGCAGAAACTTGGCCCAAAAGCAAGCAAGGAGAGATGTAATGGTGGCTTAAGTTAAACTGGTAAGAAATAGGTCTGGCGAGCGAGGGGGTGTGGGGCAGTCCTCCCCCACCCCGCAAGGGCTCCAGGTTAACTCAGCGCCGGGCAGAGGCCGAACACCTTGCCCCGGCCACAGCTCCGCAGGGATCCGGGGGTTGGCAGCAGCAGCCCCGCCCTCTCTTCCTCTCCGTCGGGAAACACGTGCGTTTCCTCCACCTGAAGATGCCCCTGAGGCAGGGCACGTGGGAGGCGCCCTTCCCAGGAGGAAGGGGACGGCTCAGCACGGCGGCGAGCAGAGCGCAGCCAGGTGGCTCCACCACCGCAGCTCCTCTAGTCCCACGGCGGGGGGGGGGGGGCGGGGGGCGGGGGGAGCGGGGGCGGGGGGCCACTGCTGCACAAAACGTGGGGGTTTTGATGGACACGACGGGTGAGGGCTTCGAGGCCCCCAAAATGGCTCCTGCTTTGACTGTAGTCGAAGTCGGAGTCTCACATGCCTTCAGCAAACTCAAGAGAACCCAGATGTATCTGCGTTGCCCAGGTGGCATCGCCCAGGCGGCACCGCCTGAAATTGGAACGCAGGTCTTCCGACTATTTTTCTTCCCCTCACCCTACCGCTCTGCTGCGGGCATCGCTTCAGGCTGCGCCGAGGGCGCTCGGCCGCCGCAGCCCCCAGCACAGCATCTCGAGGATGGCGCTGCTGCAGACAAACTTTCCTGGGGGCGCAGCGCGGGCCGGCTGCGCTGATCGGATCCCTTCCAGGTCTGAGCCCTCGGGTCCGTCCGAGGCATCCCTCCGCCGTGGCCGCTGCCTGCTGGGGTCCCACGCTTCCCCAGGTACAGCAGCGTCAGGAAGAGCAGCTGCTACCGGTGACAAGCCACCCACCAGACACTTCGCGCAAGAGCCTCTTCACGACGCCGGCACAGAGGAGAAGCCCGGCGCCCACCGCAGGCGGGAAGCGACCGCCCGGGCGCACACACCCGTGGGTCCTCTCCCTCCCTCTGCTTGTCCCCGAAACGGCCCTTCCAGCTCACTTTTCCCGTGGCCGCTTGCCCTGGAACGCGACCTTGAGGCTGGAGTGGGGACAGCAGGACCCCTCGGGGCGGCACCCCCACCAGCCTCCTCTCCCGCGCAGGCCGCCGGGATGCGCTGGCGCGCAGAGCCGGCTGGCGAGCCCTCCTCGGGGAAACTACCCGGGGCCCCCGGCGCACGGACACTGCCCCCGGCCCCACGCGCCCCCTTCCCTCGGGACCGCCCCCGACCCGCACCTCACCTCGCGCAGCAGACGCTCCAGGTGCGGCTCGGCCCAGGCGGCCAGGGCGGCCGGGGACCCCGTGCGTCTCAGCAGCTCCCGCTCCTCCTCGAGCGCCGCCACCCGGCCCTGCAGCGTGGTCGCTTGGGCGCCCAGCAGCAGACAGGCAACTGCCGAGCCCACGGAGAGCAGCAGGCACAGCGCGCTCACCGCCCAGGCCCCCGCAGCCGTCGCTGGGCGACTCCCGCCGCCGCCGCCCGCCGGGGCGCCCTTCCGCGCGTCGCCGCCGCCGCCGCCGCCGCACTCGCCCGGGCTCATGGCGCGATCTTCGCGTGTGCGGTTCGAGGGGGCGGTGCAGAGCTACGGTTGAGGACTGAGCGCGGGGAGCGGGCAGAAAGACCGAGGCACGAGGTCGGCCCGGCGTAGGGCTTGGCCTCCAGGCAGCAGCGGATCGCGGCGCACGCCCCTTTCCCTGCCGCCGGCTCCTCCACAACGGCCACTTTGGGCAGTTTCCTCTATGCAGATAGACTCTGCCAGAAAAGGAGCCGGGACCCACCCAGGGGAGGAGCGGCCCGGCCAGCCCCGCGCGGCGAGGGGGCGGGGGCGGGAAGGGAGCTGGCTCTGCGGAGCAACCCCCCCCACCCCCAGCGCGCGCCTAGCGGACCCTTCGAGCAGCGCGCACCCCCGCCCTCAGCTGCCGGGGCGCCGGGCGGCACCCACTCCCGCGCGTGCACCTCTGCCGCTCCCCAGCACGCGTTCCCACTGCAACCCCTGGAGATCTGAGATCCAGAGCGCCTTCTGCAGCCCACCACTAGCTGGGGCATCATTCAGGCCCGGCGAAATTCCCTTAAACTTGCGAATTAATCTCTCTGACAATGTTTTGAAAGGTCAAAACTTCAAACCCTGTAGAAAACGTAGTGAGTCCTTCCTGGATGGCGCCTTAGCGCCACCTAGTGGTCGAAAGCGACTTCTGCGCGCTCACTCTCAGACATTGCTGGGGTCGAGGCTGGCCAGACAGAATGATGCCTCTTAGAATCTTAATTTCTCTCCATTTATTATGTGCCAGACATGTGGTGCGGAAACAGACATTGTACGATCTTGTCCGTGACCTAGAGAAGGCTTTCATTTGAGAAAATTGAAACTAAATAGATGGAAAAGGAGAAAAGTACTCTGCCTTTTGTTGAGCTGATGGCTTAATTCTGTAGTAGAAACACCACTTGGCCAACAACAATAATCAGTGTGAACATTTAGCTCATAATGTGATTTTGCCGCAAAGTTATGTCACAGGGTCAAGGTAGGAAAGCCGGAGTGATAGGGGAGTGGCTCTAACAGGGGGAGGAAGGGGGAGAGGCTGGCAGTCAGCCAGGCGGGGTTCCCTGCGCCCTCACATTCCTCCCAGGCTGATTCCTACCCTAAAGGATCCCAAGCGACCCCTCCACGAACCTCTCTACTACTCAAATAAAAACAATAAACGGCTGGCTTAGATCTTTGTAATTTGGGCAATTCCAGAACTGTTTTTGAGAAAAAGGTCTGTTATATCTACCTTCCCCCTCACTGTCTGGGTATTTTTTGATTAATTCCTATGGATAGATTACTTACCTTTTAAAACTGTTAGTTAATTGGGGTTACATTTAGGTGGCTGTAGACAGGTTTGGGTACCGTGTTATAATCTAGTGTATGCCCAATAAATAGCCTGAAAAATACTTGCTGAGCAAATCAGACTGTCTTCTCTGAAGAGGCCAACACGGTACTCCAAGTCATCGCTTCATTCATACTAAAAACACACAGGTCAATTGCCCATTACCTATCTATATTAATGCTACTGCACCATGTTCACTACGTTCCAGAAGCTTCTGTATATCGAATAAGCAAGCTCCTTGGCCTTTGCGCTTGCCTACTAAATCACTTGCAATACCCTGCTCTCAGATCCTTGAACAAGTCCTCCTTCTTCTTAGTTAGAAGTCCAGGGTCCTCAAATCTCACTGCCTCTGAAAGATGGTCCTAGATGTCCCAACGCAACGTAGCTACACCTGCATCCCCCTCAGGATTACTCAGGGCATCTGTCATTATTTGATGTTACCTTTTTATTAACCGTATCCTCTTTGCCTTGTTCAGCACCATTTTTTCAAAGAACAAAACAGGACGTGGCACATACTGTTGGTGCTCAACAAATATTTGTCAAGTGAATTAGGAAAGGTGAAATTACTATCTACCACTCATTTTAAAAGGCTCAGAAGGAAATCTGTCTTGTGTCAGCTGGGGTCCTGGAAGGAACAGGGGGCATCCTCAGACTGAAGACAGTCTGAACGCAGACTCTTACGAAGTGAGGCCGACTAAGGGAAGCCTGCGGGGCCTGCTGAGGAAGCGCCCTGAGGCGCCAACAGTGGGGGGCCATCACCAGCCTGACTGAGGGGGCGAGGGGGGCGAGGGGTTGTGGGAACCCTGTATTGACTGGAGTCATAGAAAGATCGGCCAGAGAGGAGCTGTGGCCTTTGGCCACGGGATACTACCTACTCGGAAGCATGGTTTGGAAAGCTGGGAGCTGGGGTATGAATAACCTTTCCTGCTCTCTAATCCCCTACTGGGGCCTCACAAGGACCGAACCCACGTGACGAGAAAGCCCAGATGATGCAATGCAGAAGCTGGCCTCCCAGGGGCCGAGAAGAGAGCCAGGGGGATGAAGAACAGATCTGGAGAGGGAGAAGGAAACCCTGGGTCCACGTCACCTCCCATGCGTGAAGCACCAGCTCCTGGTGCTGGGACCATAAAAGAGTGCACCAGGGAGTCTCTGCCCATTGGCCAAGATGGCAGCCGGGGGAGGTTCTCACACCAAGCACATTAAAAGCTAGAAAGATGAATGGAGAGACCCCGTTGGCCCGAAGCTAGGAAGATAATTGGATTAGGGGGAAAGCCCTCCCCTCCCTGTCCCTACAGGAACTGCAGGCATGAGCAGGAGAACGAAGAAGGTCTTTGAGACCAGAGCCCACTGTTCTCCCAGGACGCGTGGCATCGGAATAAACCTCTATTCTTTTGCACTAGCACCTGCCTCACAAGTGTGGCTTTTGTGCTGGCGGGCAGCTGGATCGCTGTTTTTTGTTCAGTAACACTGCCTCTGAATGGCTAACCTGCCAGCAATAGGCACTAATCTTCAGGGTGACCATCAAGCTACTTGGTGGCAAATCAATTACTGCAGACTCTCTCCACGGGGGAAGGGCCAGCAGTTTGTCCCTCACAGGGATGGGCTGCTGTTCCAGGTGGGGGACTGACTCCCTGTCTGCAGAGCCTCAGTTAGCACCACCGTCCTTGATGGCCGGATGCACAGGCATGGAACCCCAAACGTTGGCGCTGGACCAGGGGACCCACTTTACAGCAGACGAGCCGTGGAGGCGAGCCCCGGACCGCGCGCCCCGCTGACTGTAGTGCATCCCCCAGCAGCCAGAAGCGCCCAGCCTCACAGAACACTGGACCTGCCTTTCGAAGGCACAGGAGAAGTGCCGACTTGGAGTATTGGGGGCCAGGCTGTGAGGGTGCCATCCTTCAGGATGGGGTATATGCATTAAATCAGGGACCTGGAGGTGATGCTCTGTCCCAATAGCACGCGGGCCCAGGAACCAAGTGGTGCAAGTAAGAGTGGCCCCAGTTACCATCAGTCCCCTGACCTAGCGAGTGGTTTGGTGATTGCTGTCCCAGGCGTCGGTTCTGCAGTGTTGGAGGCCCGGGTTCTCAGCGGGGTTGCGCCCCTGCCGGGGCACACGGCAAAGGTCATTAAGCTCCATGCTCTGGCTTCCACCAGGGCACTCTGAACCCTGTCCAGGGACCTGAAGTCAAGGAGTCACCACTTGGCAGGGGTAATTGACCCTGATCAGTACGCACAGCGGGGGGGGGGGGGGGGGGGGCTGCGTTTTTGTAGCAGGAGGAGGAGGGCCGCACAAGGAACCTTGTGACATCCCTTTGCCCCGCGGTCACTGTGAACAGCGGTGCGCGTCCCCCTGGCTGACGACTGACAAAGGCTCAGACCCTTCAGGATAAAGGGGGCCTGCACTGTAAAACATATCAGTTAAAAAAGGGATTATTTGGGTCAGCTAGAACAAAAAACAAGGTAACTGATGTTGGTAATGAAAAGGTTCAAATATGTTCAAGATACTCTATTTAAGAAGGAAGGAACACCTAATCATGTTTTAAAAAAATTTGCAAAAAAATTTTCTGGCAAAAATTATTTACATTCAGCTATAAGGCTTGAAGGCATACGCTTCAGTTACCTGAGAAAACTGTTGCAGAGGAAAGGCGTCGTCACCTGGCGACAAGGCTGCAGGCCTCCCCCGCGCGCCTCCGGTGGCAGCCCACGCTCCAGGCCTGGCTCCGCCCAGCGCCCACGGCCACTGTCCCGGCCCGCAGTTTTCTCGTTTGCCGAATGGAGACACCGACAGAGCCTAGGTCTACTCTGTCTGCAACAAGAAAAAAAAGGGGCAAACTGCATGAAATGGCAGTTTATAAGGCACTGGACATCAGGCAATGAAAAGCGGTCCTCGGGAGATGGGAGACAGACGGAGGGAGCCCGAGGGTCGCTGTGGCTTGCCCTCTGGAGAGAGAGGTTCGTCCAGGCCACGGTGCAGGGTGGGCCCGGGCAGAGCCGCCCTGACCGCGGAGAGAACTGCAGGTCCGAGGGCGCCGTGGCAGCCAAGGCAGGCAGAGTCTGCAGGGCAGCGGAGAGAGCTGCACAGAGGCAATGTTTCCCTCGAGGTCATCAGGCCTGGGATCAAACCACCTGAGGCCAGGACAGAAGCACCCAAAAGCAGCATTAAACCCTCACCACCAGAGGAGGCATGCCCCCAGCTCACCGTGGGCGGGGGCTCCCCACCAGCCAGCATGGAAAACCTGGCCATTCACCGGGCAGCGTCCGCCAAAGCCAGCCCCAGACTAGACACGGCCCTGGTGCTGCCTAACAAAGCTTAGAACCAAAACCCGCGGACGTCAAACTTAATCACGTCCCAACGCATATACGAATATGAAAATAGTATCCCAACAAGGTAAAACACAAAAGTAAAATTACCAGGTATGTGAAAGTAGCAAGAAAATCTGACCCATAATATAAGGAAAAGCTTTCAAACCTAGAAATGAAAGGGATAATAGAATTAACAGACAAGGATGTTAAAAGCTATAATATCCAAATGTTCAAGGAACCTTAGTAAGGGGAAAGATTGAACATTTAAGTGGAGTCATGGAAAAAATTTTAAAGACCTAAAATAAAATTCTAGAGATTAAAAAATGACAATGTTTGAGGTAAAAAAACAATACATGGGATGGGATTAAAGGCAGAT